CCAGTTGCAGAGTGGATTATATTTGGGAGGAGAAGTAAAATTTTGATACGATGGATTGAGGATTTTACTTGGCACCATCAGCTGGAGTTTTGTCAAAGCTGCCATATAGAAGTGGAATAAAATTTTGGTCCACATCCTTGGGTTCATTGACTGAGGCTAATGATCAGTTATTACTTATGATAATTCTTCAACTTTTCTTGGCAAAACAATTCCTTTTGCCTGTATTTCATGAAAAATAAAAAAGAAATATATTTATTGCAACAAATGTACTTTGAGTCAGTAGCCTATTTGCAGTACAGCCTTGGAAATGGTTGAGTACAAAAATAATCAAGCATATTATCACTAAATGAATATGAATTACATAGTTGAATAGATGACTAGTGTCATTAATTACCTTTTTGTTGTTCTTGTGTGCCATTGAGTTGGAACCAACCCATAGCTTACCCTCCAGCAGTTTCTGGAGGCAGTTAATTGCATAGGAGTTGATTGTACATCTTCCTGTTACAGAGCAGCTGGTGAATTTGAACCACTGCCTTTGGGATTGCAGCACAGCTTCTTGCCATTAGGCCACAAGAACACCTTAATTACCCAGTACTGAAGATTATACTCAAAATCATTAAATTGGTCCAGGATGCATTATAATTTTTTGTTGTTGTTGTTTTGCTGTCACATATGGCTTTTGAGTGGATTTGGTTTAAAATATTTTAATGAGTATAATTCCCTATGCAAATACAAATGTGTAGATACTTTTGAGCACTGTGCTAGATACTAGTTATTCAAAAATTAATTTGTCAATCCCAGCTCTAAAGTAACACACTGTGGTTTTAGTCTCATATACTAAGAACAAGTCAGAGAGAACAGCATAAGTGTCCTGGGTGTGGAAGCTCAAGATTTAGTTATATATATATTATGGGGCTCGCACTATTTCTATGCAATGCTGTGAGTCAGAAGTGATTCATAGTTGATCTCCAGCAGATTTTCAGAGGCTGTAAATTGCACTACAAGAGACTGCCTACTTTTCATCCACAGATTAACTGGTGGAGTAAAACTACTTGCATTTAAATTGACAGCACAACATTTTACCCACTAGGCCACCAACCTCAAAGTACTGAAGAATAAATTCAAGCTTCTGTTGGTAATACTAAAGGGTCTATGAGCAAAATCTTGATGATGCATGAATCATCAAAAGAAAATGGAAGGAATACATAGAGTTACTGTACCAAGAAGAACTGGTCAACACTGGCTGCTTTTCAGAACTAGCATATAATCAGGAACCAATGGTAAGGAAGGAAGAATTTCAAGCTGGACCAAAGGCATTGGCAAAAAATAAGGCACCAGGAACTGATTGAATAACAATTGAGGTGACTTAACAAAAAAGAACAGTATGTGCTTACTACTCTATGCCAAGAAATTTGAAAGACTGGCCAACTGATTAGAAGAAATCCATATTTACACCAAACTAAAATGGGTAATCCAAGAGAATGTGCAAATTATCAAACAATCTTACCAATATATGCAAGTAAACACTTGCTGAGGATTTTTTTTAAATGGATAGAACGTTACATCAATAGGGAACTGCCAGGCTGCATTCAGAAGGGGCAGTGAAATGATGTCAGATAGATCTTGCCTGAAAGCAGAGAATACCATAAATATGTTTACTTGTGTTTTATTGACTATGCAAATAATAACAAATTATGGCTACCTTTGAGAAGACTATAAATTAAAGAACACTTAGTTGTGCTCATACAAAATCTATACAAGAAGCTGCTGTCCTCATGTAAGAAAAGAAATCTGCATGATTTTAAATCAGGAAAGATGTACATAAATACTGCATCATTTCTCCATACACATTCAATCTATATATATTGAACAAATAATTTGAGATCATGGGTTATCTAAAGAAGAATATGGTATCAGAATTGGAGGGAGATTGATCAACAGATTATGCAAGTGACACAACTTCTAGTAGAATGTGAAGAAAACTTGAAACACTTTGTAAAAGGACCAATATCAATGAGGGAATGCCTGAATCTTATTTCTACCAGTTTCACAAAGGGGAATTGTTCCCATTACTAACATCCACAGTGCCAAACAGTTACAAGGTCAGACGTAGTCTCCCACCTCACACTCCTGAACCTATTTCTATTAATTACTGCATCTGATATTAATGCAAATTGACTCATGGACTTTTTTCAGAGTTGAGGGTTTATTAAGGAGATAAGTTG